TTAGTTACATTTCTCCTCGCTATGACAAAAGGAACTCAAGGAAGGGTTTATTCTGGCTCATAGCTTGAGGATGGTCTCTCGTGGCAGGGAAGGCATGGTGTCAGGAGTGTAAAGTGGCTGTTCACGTTTAAGTCTGCAGTCGGGAATCAGAGTGAGATGGATGCTGGTGCCCATCTTGCTTTCTCCTTTTACACAGTCCAGGACCCTAGCCCATGCATGGGATGGTGCCATCTACATTTAAGACGAGTCTTCCTTACTCAGTTAAAACTTATTCACACACCCAGAAGTGTGTTTCCATGATGATTTTAATCCCATCAAGTTGACAATCAAGATTAAACCAATCACATAGGCATTTAGTAAATATCTTTTTCATAAGCATGTGGCTGGCAAGCCAAATTCTGTGCTTTCGGTTTGTTGTTCTAGAGAGATACAAGAGATAAAAATTACTTATTCCATGCCTTGGCTGTTATGGGCAAAGCAAAAAAGCATTTGTGGTAGCTAGTTTTCAAATGACCCCCAACTGATCTTTGCTATCTATTATTCATGTCCTTGTGTAGGCTTATTCCACGTTAAATGGGTATAATGTATATATTGGAATATTGTAGAAATGATGAGAAGGGCAATCATAAAAGATATGTGGCTTCCATCTTGCTCTTCCCTGTACTGCTCACTCTGTAGTAAGCCATCACCACGTTGTAGGGATGCTTAACTCATCCTGGACAAGCCCAGGGAGGAGAAACTGATACCCCATATGACAACTAGCATCACTTAAATGAACCGTTCTGGAAGTAGATCCTTTTTCTTTTCCTTTATGGGACTATGACCAATAAAAACTTCATTAAGGACCCTGAGGCAGACCCACCCATATAAATCATTTCTGAAGTCCAAACTGATCTATGGGATCACTAGCTTTGGGTTAACTTTTTACACATCAGTAGAAAACAGACTGAGAATTCATGAACTTCCATACTCTGCCTACTGAATTGCAACCTTGCCAATACCAGTGGGTCAGAGAAATCCTCTTAAGAAATGTTCACATTTCTATGCCTGAAAGTAGGGATACAAAACAAGTTATTCAAGGTCCCTCCTGGTAGGAGACCTTGTGAGTGTAGAGGAGGCTCTGAGTCAGTTCACTAATGTAATGGTTTCCTGAGGCTTTCATTTTGTCCTTTAGATGATGATGCACAATTTGTTGATCCTTCACGATCTGGTCCATTGTTCAGGGACCAACTGCTGGGAAAATTGAGGGGAAAAAATGAATTGATCATGCTTTTGGGCATTGGGTAATTTTGTCTGGAGTGATCAGCATCCTTGGAATCAATGGCCATTCCTGGAACATCAACAGCAGTTAACCAGACACAAATCCACACCAGTCAAGCTCAAGGTTTATATGAATACCAACATAAGCTGAGCTGTTGCTGTCAGCTCTAAAACCTCAGCAGTGTTTGATCGCTGTGTCTGGCTTGGCAGGTGCTTTCTTCTGCCCATGTTTCACCTAAGCCACAGGGGAGAAGTGCTCAGAACTTTGGAGAAATTTTGTGATTGAAGTCAACATGGCCTCTTGGACTGTGTTCTCTGCCCTATGAAGATGCTCAGATCCTGCCTGGGCAGTTAGGAACAGGGAGCCTATACTACAAAGTCAAACCCTTTGGGTAACTGAACTTACCTTCAATATGAGAGGGTCAGCATTTGATGAGGAAGGAAATATAAACTACCTATCTTCTGAACATATTCCATAGATAAAAATTTTTCTCAACTATGAACTATTACAAGTTGACCCTAGAAAATGCTGACTAGAGAGGGAAAAGCACAGGCACATGACAGATGAAAGGATGCACTGAAGGTATGCACCATTTTACTGAAGTTGCCCGGTCAGGTGCCTTGCCTTTTGCTTTTCCAGTTGCTTGTGGTGCTGCTCCTCTCTCCCTCAGAGCCCTCTGGAAATTGAAGGTTCAGAACATTTAACAACATAAGTCCTGGTGTGATATTTACCTCAGCTAAAGGTTCTGTCTCTAGAATTGGCTGCCATAAGAATATTTGCCTCTGTTGTGATCTAGCATCTTCACTTCCTGTCATAATAATCATTTACTTGTCTCCAACTATATGAAAATCTGCCTTAAGATAAGACCTTTGTGTGATATCTTAGAGCTGTACAAAACTGGTTAATCAAATTAATTGGGCCTATCAGTGAGGTAATATGTGTTATATCACAAAGGCTCACGTATTCGGTTCATGATGAATTTTATTCTAACAGAACAAATGCAGCTATGACTTCAGAAAAACTGGCTCATACTGGCTCAAATTCAATTTGGTCACCCCTCAGCCCATACTTTAAAACCTGCTTAAAAATTGGCTAAATGACAAATTAAACACCCCCCCTCCAAATTGGCTAAATGAAACTGGGCATTGTGGTGCATGCCTTTAATCCCGGCACTTGGGAGGCAGAAGTGGGCAGGATCTCTGTAAGACTGAGGCCAGCCTGGTCTACAAAGCAGGTTCTAGGTCAGCTGGGGCTATAGGGAGACCTATGTAAAAAATAAAAAAACAAACAAACAAAAAACCCTGGTTAAATGGGAAAAAAAACACAGTACTAGACTATAGGAACCCAATGTATTAGTTTTAACCTTCTAAATTAATTTTTCGTGTATTTGGTACATGCCTCCATAAGGGACCTGCCCGCTGTGCTACAAGTGCCCTGTCTCATGGACAAGAACTCTTTGAGGGCAGGAGCTGTATCCTCCAGTGTCTGGCACAACCTCCACTAATAACCACTATGCACCCACATTCACATATGTCTGTATGTGGGTGCATGACTATGAAAGGGAGTATAGAAGAATGCATTTCACGCAGAGAAGACTGCCCTGAAAATACCTTGATGGATAACATTATCTCATGTTACAAGTTGTGAGCATATGTGTAAATAAACCAGGAGGGAAATGATGACGGTTGTATGTTTGGCCAGAGAAGGTTGCACAGTATTTCATTTAAAAGCTACAAACAAAGGTATCCTGTATTTCTGTTGTAGATGCATCGTTAGGTTCAAATGAGCGAAAAAGAGGAAGTGTGTACACTGTTGGTGCTGTGAGACAACTATCCAATGGAGGCACCTCCTTCACAGACACTGGGAAGGCTGGCTGTGTTCACAGCTGAGCCCTTTTTCAGGAATCGCTTGTTGGCCAAAGAACTTCTTTTGCCCAAAGTTGTGCCCACCCCTCCCTAGTGACAGCTCACATGCAAAGACTGATCCACATAGGGTCCAAAGGTCTGGATGTCTTCTCAAAGCAAGACATCCCCGGAGTAGCCTCTGGCCATTTCCATGTCCTTCTACTCCCAGCTCAGTCTGTTTCTTGGGAAGTGAAAACGAGATGGGAGAATACAGTCCAGTCTATTAAAATGTTAAAGACTGTCTTTATATTGATTCCCTTCTTACAATATGCATGCATCACCTTTATAATTTCAAGAATATCAAGTGATGAAATTAGAAACATGATGAACATGTTAGCAGAATGGGTCAATGACTATGCGTTACCTGTTTGAAAAACAGGTAACAAAATAACATAGCAAAGGTATTTGGAGTTAAATGAACTGAACTGAATGGGATTTTATCAACACTTTCAGTAACTTTGACTTAGTTGGGTCAAAAGAGATTAGACCAGCTTTCTGAGACCTCACAGAAAGAGTGAAGGGGAGAAAGCAGAAGGTAGACAAAAAAGGAGATGGAATTTTAATTTCATAGTAAGAGATTGTTTAATATTAAACAATACTTCAAAATAGGTTGAAAATTTTGGACAACTATCCAAATTACACCTTAAAATGATCTATAGTTCCTTCATTTAGTGAGCAGATAGATTCTAATTGGAAGAGGACAATGCATGCATTTACAGCATCTGTAGTCTGTGTCTTGGGTACCAGCTAACCCTTTGAAGACTACTTCTACTCCAATGATGCAGCCTCAAAATGCCTGCCATCCCACTCTCCAGGCAACCAGAGCATTCACCAGAGATAGGCACAACTTGCCATTCCAGAAGTAGATGATCTTTACACTTCTTTCTACTCTGGGGGTTCTGAGAGGGACTCTGGGGAAGGCAAATTCATCCAAGGACAGCTTAGCTGAGCAAGTCTATGGCTTAACTGAATGACTACTCCTTCCTCCCTCAGATTCTAGCCAAGTTTTACAAATGTGTCCTCTTTAGGCATCTATAAATGAGATCCCTGAGGCTCAGTGTTCTTTCTGGAGAAGGCTTAGCATCATTTGTGAGCAGGAAGTCCTTGAAGGCATAATTATCGCGTTATCAACTGTGTTGACAGATCCTTGAGAACTGTGTAGGGAGAAGCTTGATCCAAGTCCTGCACAGATCCCCTGATTTAAAAGGCAGACAAATGTGCAGGAGCTTCCACTTGCAATAGATGTCCATGCTTGCGATGGTGTTTTTAACTGGAGAGAATTATTCTGCATACATTTATTCATTATTTGTTGAGCTTTCCTGTGTTGGTACTGTGCTTGGACAGGGACTAAATAAAGCCAGGAGGAGGACAAAGTTTCTGACCTTGGGGAGAATCTAGAAAGTCCTTGAGAATCTATAGGGAAAACTGGCATAAAGAAAGAGATTCTACTAGTGACTTTCATGCTGTAGGAATGTCCAAAATACTGATAACATTAAGGGCAAAAGGGGGCTCAGTTTGAAGGAAGGGTTTGGATGGGAGGCTTCCTGGAGGAAATGTCAAACATTTGTTCTAATAAGATCTTCTAAGAGTTTGCTATAATCACATTTCTGAATTTATATTGATTCTATGGAGTTTTTAAAAAAATAAATATTTATCATTGTATCACAAAGTTATGAAAATAATTGATAAAATTCTGGAGAGGAAAAAATAACAACAATAAGCAACAATTTTCTTTCTTGTAGAGAGCAGTATGGTTCACCTCTAAATTTTTTGGAATAGAAAGGGAAACTGAGGTTCATATTTTGAGGCCATAAATATATTTCTTCCTTTTTCAGGTGTCTGCATCCTTTAACTGTGCAGAGGGGCAGATCTCTTCTAGAGTTACGATTAACGAGCATACCACCAAGAGAAAATATCAGAGACAACACCACAGAGGTACTGTTTGCTATAAACCTTTTATCATCAGTCAATCCAATGGCCAGCTTGAGGCTTTCAGTAGTAACTATATATTCCCAGGGTCCTAAGACTTTTGTCAGTGAAACAACAGCCTGGGGGATAGTCTCCCCGAAATGAGCTGACCAGCAGCTCAGCTCCTCTGGGCTCCACATAGTTTCTGAAATCACTTGAGAAACTAGGTACTAAGATTTGGGCTACTCATAAAATATTTCTGAAATGCATTTAGTGATGCAGCTGGTAATAAAAGTATGTTACTGAGCTCAGTCCCTCCAAGAGGCTAGACTTGTTTCCCAGCCCAGCACGCCCGTACTAGGCCTGCATGAATCACTGCTAAATTATTCACCAGGCTGACTCTAAAACTTCTAGAGTTCTAAAACCTCTAATAAAGTATTATGAAAAAAATATCCATCTCTATCTCTATCCATAACTATTTATACGGCTGGAGGAAAACCTGTCATTTTATTTCTTTTAATTTAAAAGCTTTCCTAATTCCTTTCTCCTACCACATATATATGTCTAAAAAATTTTCAAGTTGAAATAATATTCTCTAAGAAATGGTCCATAGGAAAGGCTCTGAGGATTCACAGAGGTGACAGGCACAATGAATATTTCGCTCCCTTAGTAACTTTCCAAGGTACTCAAACCTTATTCACTGAATTGGGAACTTTTCCAACAGGTGTGTCTGGGTTTTTTGTAGTGCAAAACAAGGAAGATATATCCACCAGCCTTCTCTCTGTTTTTTTTATACAATTGCTAAAGTTTGTTCAGAAATAACCTCATTTCTTCCTGAGACTCATTGTGTACATGACATGTTCTCAATAGCCCTCCAGGTACTATAGAGACAAGACAGGTCTTGTCTGAAGCCCTGCATTGGCATTAGCCCACAATGTCCTCAGTAGCACCCTGCCTGACTTGGGGACAGTTGACTACAAAGTACTCCAGGCTGTTTTTAAAAATTCTTTGAATATTGAAAGTCATAAGAAACATTATCATATTAAGCTGGCTGACAGCCATTCACATTTCAGGGTGAACTAGTGAATTCAATACTTTTAAGTTACCAGTTGGGTGAGATCAAAATCTCTGAAACCGAGCAGAACTGGAACAGTTTGGACCAATTAGGCAGCAGTAAAGGCTACCTATCACAAAAACATCATGTATTAAGATGGTAATGGTCTTACTTACAGGCTCTGTCCTCAGAAAAGACATGTATACAGATACAGGAGTAGTTGGCAAACCATTTTCAATGGGGTACGATTAAAGCCTCCATCCAAAGGACTTCCTGAGTAAGGGTTCAATGCTAACAGAAGATTTGGGGTACTGTCTCCCTACTCTAAGTAGATGTTGAATCAATGTTTTATTTTACTTTTGGTTTTTGAGAATTTCATATACGAGTACTGTATTTACATCATTTTCACCCCTCCCTCTCCTTCCTCCAACTTCTTTCATACAGACACCCTCCCTCTCAATTTCTTTTTCTTGTTTTTGATCTCTCTCTCTCTCTCTCACACACATACACACACACACACACACACACACACACACACACACACACACACCACACACACACAATGCACTTAGTCCATTTAGTGGTGCGCATGTGTACATGTGTTTAGGGCTGACCACATGGATTAGATAACCTATCAGGGAGTTCGTCCCTATATAAAACTGATTATCCTTCCCTCAGTGTCCGTTGACCACCTGTATCTCTTCATCTGAGTTGGAACCCTGTGAAATTTCCCACATTCACATTTGCATGTCAGTTGGTGCTGTCATCATGAAAGTCTTGTTAGGCTGCCATATCAGGGAGATTTCATAGGTGCAGCTTCCCTATTATGTCTACAGTGCACTGTCTGGCAGCAAGTGCCCTGGTCCTCCTGCTCCTACAATCTTTGGTTTAAATATGAGAAGAAATATTAATTAGTCAAGAGCACCCCATATCTCCATCTAGTCCTATTATCTGAGGCTTTTGGCCAGTGTGTTTAAAGGATGAAATAGGGGCCCCTATGAATGAGACCCTGAGGTAGCCGGGGCGGGGTGATTTGCAGAAAACAAGCATTAGAAGAACACACAATACACAATACTGAAGACAAGTGTCACCATTTTATTTGGAAATAGCATTGTTTCAGCAACTAGTCATTGGTCTCACCCTTGGAATAAGCCCACAGACTGAAGCAAAGAATGTTTATAAACAGCTACATGAGTCTGCTGCTTAAAGCAGGGCCAGGGGATGATGCCAGATTTCATTCATGAGAGTCTTATCTACTCCAGGATTGGGATCCATTTCAGTCTAGAGCTGGAGGAAGCTTCTTGGTCCAGGAAGAATCAAGCCAAGGTGAAAGTAGGAGGCTACCTTGCCTTCAGATAGCAATTGTCAGGGGACCCAGGCAGGGATGGGGAGTTCTGCCCAGTCCCTTGAGGGTAGAACATTTCAGAGGTCTGCAGGACACCTATTCAGAGGTAGTTCTCAGAAGCACCAGTTGCTCTGTCATTTATATCTGAAAGCCACCTCCAGGCATAGACGCCAGCTCATCTTTTCCTGCCAAGTCTTGTCACATGTGCACAGTGGACCTCTCAGGAGAACATGGCTTATCCAGATTAACTTTCTCTCCCATACACTTACAAACCTCTTTTGCTAAAGGAGCCTGGTACAAGAATCATAGGAGTTACCAAACAGGAAGGCAGCCAGGTAGCTCTATGACCTTTTGGTAATTCAAACTGAGGTGAGCTCACCAGGCTGGTCTGAGCTGCCTGGCTCAACACACTTCTATCCCACCCTCAGTCCCTGTGCATTTGCAAGCAGCTTATTTTAAGAGCTGATTAGATGAGCCCTTAATAACATTAGAACTTAAATGGCCCCAGATAGGCTTTCAGCTTCTTGCCAAATTGAGATAAATGTGATATTTGGGGAACTGAACAACCAGCTTTGTGGTTGCTCTGGACTGCAGATGGTCCTGAAGCATTTTGTCTTCCCTTCTGGCTAACTGCAGCCTAAACGTGGGTTTGTTTTTATCTATCAGGACACTTTCATCTCCAAAGGTCTAGGATTCTGTGTAGATGGTCTTGATAATTATGCATTTTCAAAGAAAGTTAAGTTTAAAATGAGGGACCCAGAGAGAGTTCTATCTTCCAATTAGGGTAATCTACAGGAAAACCTCTCTGTGCCCCCATACCCTCTGGGAACTTTCAGTTCACGCAACAACCTTTCATGAGCAACTACTATTTAAAGTCATTTAATTCAGAATTAATGCTCTTAATGCCAGACTTTGGGTGAGAATAATATAAAATGATAAGCTATATGAACTTGCCATTGCATGAATATGTTTAGCATCTTCTGTAACTCTTATGGCTGGGTTTATTTCTAGGAAAGACAGCAGAATGAGCAAGTAAGTAGCTGTAGCTTTCCAATTGAATGTGCTTCTGTGATTGTGGGGGTCAAGTAAAAGCGGACTCGGAAAGGGGAATAAAAAAATCAAAGGTAAATGTAAATCAATGGTCTAATGTTGAGGCAAATGTACTACAAGCAAACAAACAAAAAATGACTGTCTTTAAATCCTGTCTTTCCTCAAACATATCCCATACCTCCATATCCCCAGAATATATTGAAATTCCTAAACTCATGATTTGCTTTTCTAGATGTGGGTACTCATTAAAGAATACTTCATGAGTTTAAGCTTCCTTTGGAGGCCTACAAGCACAGCCCATGGAATAGCTCTTTAAGCTTTTCAGAGGAAACAAAAGTTTGAGTTTAACCTTGTTCTTGGGTAAGGAAAGCCCAACTGTGGTGTTTTCCTGAAGGGAACCAAGGAGCCTTAAGAGCCAGCTAAGAGAAGGAGAGGAACTTGAGGCTTGGACATCATGATGGGCAAACCACTCCTCCTGCTTCAGGCCCATGAATCCCCAGTTCATTCCAGCCTTCGTGGATCATTGAGGGGTTTCAGGAACATGCAAACTGGCTGGGATCAGAAACCACGGTTGAATGGGCGTGTTTAAAGTAAAGCTGTTGTGGTTGCACAGTTCAGGTCCTGGATCAGTGTTTGACTCTATTTCTAACTCTAATCAGTCGGGTCTCAGAGGCTGTTTGATGTAGAGGTGAAAAGGAGTATCACAAATCTCAGCCCCCATGCTTAGGCCTGTACCTTTAGGAAATTAAGCTTTCATATGATTATGATGCATTTTCATGAAGAAAAATGACCTAAAAGATCATTTCTCATTATGGTACTTTCTAGTATTGTATTTGTGTTTTCATCTCACTATTATGGCTGCGGGAAACATGCTAATAGGTCATCAGTTTGCCTGCCAGCTCCCCTCTTACCTGGGGCTTTATGTAACAGGCTTTGTTTCTTTTCATGTCTCTCCTTCACACCTCACTTTGTCCTATCTCTGCAGATAAAGTAGCCTTCCTCCCTGCCAAGGTTCACTCTTCCTCTGAATCTTCAGTCCCTGTCTTCCTTTTCTCTAAATCCTGAACTATCCATTGTCCTGTTCCAATCTTTCCTTATTTATATTTTCTCACTTTCTCTAAGTTCTTTTCCTTCGCCTTAGAGACAAGCCTCATCTCCATCTAAACAAACAAATAAAAGCAGGTTTCTCATGATCTACTGAAACTCTATCACCTCTTCATATTCTAAACTCTGGAAGAATATTCAACATTCACACTTACATACTCAGTCTTTAATCCGATGAAAAAAGGGAGTGTCCTGCTCACCCATGCAGCAAATCCAGCATGACTTGCTAGACATGCTGGATATTCGTAAATAGTATGTGCCATGACCAGTGTGGCTCCTGACCACAAGTGGGACACACACTTGTAAGAAAGGCAAGGAGGCCTAGGCCGTACCCCAAATTATAAGGCATTAAGGTAAATGGAAAGATGATGCTATGTATGATGGAGAGGCAGGATGAGAATCATCAGCCCTGTCTTCAGGACAGGAGGCAGCCAGGCAAGTTCATAGGACTTTTCTAAACACATGAGGGAAAAA